ATGACTTTTTCATATCTTATAACATATAATTTCAGATATGAGGTGTCTATTTTTTTGAAAATAAAATTATGGAACAACCAACCACCTATTGTTATCATGCACCTCTATTGTCCAACTTTTAATCTAATTTTCTCAACCTATGCCCATTTTTTCCCTAAGAAATACTACTGCAAAGCATCTAATTTTCTCAACCTATGCCCAATTTTTTCATAAGAAATACTACTGTAAAGCCAGTATGTATCTCCAAATTTCAGCTTATCTGTTTTATAAACTAATTTCGTTATGAAACACGTAATTCTTGAATTCACGCACTGAATTTGTAATAATTAAAATAAGCAAGTTAAAAGCATTTTTTCGACCAGATGATTGAAGTTACCGTAGAGCATCATCTTAACCACTTTTTCATATGACCTTTTCATATCTTATAACATATAATTTAAATATCATTCTTTCCTACTATAGCAGATTCAGTCGCTTGAGCCATAATCGCATTATTTGGCGTAATTCTTGAATTCACGCACTGAATTTGTAATAATTAAAATAAGCAAGTTAAAAACATTTTTTCGGCGAGATTACTGAAGTTACCGTAGAGCATCATCTTAGTCATTTTTTCATATGACTTTTTCATATCTGATAACATATAATTTAAATATCATTCTTTCCTAATATAGCAGATTCGGTCGCTTGAGCCATAATCACATAATTTGGCTTGATGTGATTTGATCTAAGACTAAAATTAGTCCAATAAAGAAGTCCTTAAAGTTACACAAATAAATTGGTAATTGTATTAAATTAAATTAGAAACAAAGCTAATGAATATATTTTAAATAAAAATCCAAATAAAATAATGCAAAGTAATTGGATCGAAATTTTCAAATGTAGGCTTTTTAAATTTGATTTCTCATATGCATGCCGATTATTTTTAGTTGATAGAGGACATTAACTTTATAAAATTTTAGTGCCCATTTAGTGACTCTGTTTTTCGACTTATCAGGCTTATCAACCAACTTTTTAACCAAACATGTAACTTTTGATTTTGCGCGCTGAATTGTGTAATAATAAGAAAATTAAGGTTGAAGTTACTTTTCAGACTGTATTAACTGAAATTGTTGTAGATGATCATTTTATCTATTTTTCATATCATTTCTTCTTTATTTTATTAATATAATATATTTTAAATATAATTTTTCATAATCACCAGAAACAGTTAATACAGCCACTTCAGTCAGAACTTCATAAATTTCGGTAGAATCAACCGATTCAGCCAATTTCAGTGTTACCAAACGGACTCTAGTTGATAGTGGACATTTCTTTAAAATATTGGAATATCTTTAAAATTGTTGTATACGTTAACTATGAAACGTTGTGCTATTTTAATATTTTACTTCTTCTTTTTATTAATTTTTTATTAATTAGAGTTACATTACACTAGGGACCCCGTGATTCTGAGTTTCTGGGTCCGCCACTGCATAGGTTTAGATGATTCTTCCTAAATTGTGGCCTACTGAGTTCCTTGATCCTAAGAATAGCCCTGAAGTTTCTGAATGCATTGAGTCTTTGTTAGAATATTCCAATCTCTCAAAAGAAAGGAACCGCTTATTTGAGACGTTAAATCCAGCAAAGTAAGAAGCATGACCGGGTTTAATCTACGTTTGGGGGGTAAAGCATGTGCTTGTATGGTTACCCTCTGCTTCATTATAGTGATGATTCTGGCATCTGGCTCAGTTGTGAATGCCCAAAGAAATGCATTATACTATCTTAATGATCCGTGGAATTGTCTTCCCGTGGCGCATCCCCCATGCAGCGGGAACCCGGAGTGCATTGTGAGTTGTCAGAAGTTGAAGGGTACAAGTAAAGGAATATGCATTTCCCGTGACTATAAACCTCCTAGATGTTGTTGTTATGATTGATTTAATTGGATTGAACCAAATACTTTCATTTTATTGTATGTTCGACTATGACACGATCACATAAAGTACGTACTATATACAAAGACATATACTACGTATAAAATAAAATCACTTTAATATTCTAAAAAAAAAGGGACTCCTTATCACCATTCACCATTACCTTCACAAGTCCTTCTAATCAATAACTAGTTTATTTGTGTATGCTGTCATTACTTTGAGGATGTTGTGAATAACTTTGTCAAATATTTTAGCTAGAGTACAAAGATGTAGTTTAGGGAAGAATTTTCTTGGTTTAATTTGTCTGTTCTGTGAATACCCCTTTAACTACATGTGCATGCTAATTGTTTTGATTCCGTGTGGTGATTATCGTAAACCCCATTGTTCAGTTTGCTTGAGGACAAGCAAAAGCTTAAGTGTGGGGGAATCTGATAAGTCCGTATTTAGACATGTATTTGATGCGTGTTGGGATCGGGTTTGATGGTTTTCCCTAGCTTTAAGGTGTTACAAGTCTCAATTTCAGCTCAAGTTATGTTTACCGGGCATTGGTTCGAGTTTTGTGTCATTTGGAATTAAAATCAGGATTTTAGAGTTCGGAACTGGCGCTTGAGGAGAAATCGGGATGAGTTGAAAAGCATTTGAGATTGATTTGAGAGTTATGGAGGTCAGCGGGAGGTTTACGATGAAGATTTGATGACAAAAGAGCTCTAGGATTGGCTTCGGGATCAAAAGAAGATGAATGAAGCTTGAAAACGACGATCAAGATGACCTTATGTCAATCATTCAAGAATATCTCTTTGTAGAAACAACTAATGGACATGATTCGAGTTGTATATGAAAGACAACCTCAAAGGCTACAAATCATATGAAAAAACCATTACGAGAATAGGAGAGCAAGAAAGTGAAAACAGATGACGAAGTCAGATGATCTCTGCTGCGATTTCAGAATGACACCTTCCACCGTTTTGATCATATCTCTTGATTGGGTGATTCAAATCACATTCGGCAAGTTGGGGTGGATAGAGGACTTCATTATCAAAAACTTTGGAAGTTTTGTCAACTTCGGACTATAGAAAAGGCTGAAGAACACGGGCGCACGATCGTGCGTAAGAGCCAAAACCGTGGAGGAGCTACTGCCTGCTACGCACGATCGTGCGTAGCCATGGACGCACGATCGTGCGTAGCACCGAGTTACGCGCGGAAATTTCCCACATCGACCAGAATTGTGATTTTTCCCCTCTTTTCTATAAATAAGGCCTCCCTAACCCTTTTTAGGGTGGCAAACATTACGGAGAGGCCTAGGGATGAATTTAACACCGTTTTACGCTATTTTCTTCCAAGACCCTGGGATTATTTGTAAGTTCATCTTTTTAATTAATGACAATTTATTCTATTCTTCCCAATTCTGTTGATTCTTCAATTATGAATTGTGAGTAATTTAATCAGGGATTTGGGATTGATGAAGGGGTTAATCATGATGTATGGCTAGATTCTTGATGGTGTAAATTGCATGAATGCCGTTTAATTTTTGTTTGAATAATTTAATTGATATCTTTTGTAACCTAGAATGGCCACTAGAATTACAATTGCATATAGAATAAATTAAGAGAGATCTAATTTGTTCTAGGACACATTCACACACACTTAATCGTTCGCTAAGAGATTAGTAGCGATTAAGGGGCCGTAAGCTCGTTCGTCTTGGCAATAATTTACGATCCTGTCGCATGAGAGATCAGCCTGGTCCCCTAAATTATTGTATTCTACGCCGCTTGAGCGGTAAGAACTTAGTATTGATTAGCTAGGCTCAATTAAATTTAATTCATGTAATTAAGCCTGATCTGCCAGAAATCTGATTACCCCGGAATCAATCCCTGTTCCCTTCGTCGTTAATTAAGAAGAACCCAAATATTTACTTTTAGTCATTTATTTGAAATTTTAGTTTTCTAATGCAACCAATTCTCGCACGACCGCATTTGTTTTATTTATTCTTTATCGCTGATTTTAGTTAATTCTTAATTCCCTTTTACCGTCCCTGTTTAGACGATACTCGTACTTTCACCGCTATATTACAATCTTTTTAAGTGCGAGAAAATTCACATCAATGGTGAATGGGTTGGACAAGTTTGGACCTGGCTGTTTTGATAGTGGGTCTAGCCTTGAAGGTTTTGACCGCATGCAGGCAGTGTTACATACCAGGTCGGCCGCTTTACCTCACCGAAATTTGCCTTATTTGGGAGTGACGGATGGTGGGATTGGGAGGCCGTTCGACTAGTTGGGAATGGTTAAGGGTCTTCTGATGACCAGAAGCCCTCTTGGGGTACTCTAAGTTCTTGTTGAAAGTCTTGTTTCCTCTGCTCACTTGCGCCGGAAAACAGAGTCCCCGCCACTAACAACGGTAAGTAACTTTGGAAGCAGTTTTGTTGGTGGGCTGCTACTTGGTGAACGAGTTGCTACCTGAAGGGGATAAAGATGGATGGTGGGTTTGATGTCGTCGGATTTGAGCTGAGGCAATTGGTGACATTTCCGGCTGGTTAGGTTACTCTGTTCCTCTCTTACCTGACCGCCGAGATAAATACTTTATGAGTCACCTACACTTTAAAAGCGATGCATATAGTAAATGTGAAAATGTACTTTTAAAGTCGCCGAATTAAAATAAGCGAGGTGTAAAGTTAGTTATTGCATCACTTAAAGAGTGATGCAATAGACACGTTACTTTATGCATCAGTGGCTTTTGCATCGCTTCTAAAGCGATGCGTAAAGGAAGTTTATAACTTTATATGCGACTCAAAAAGTATTTTTTGTAGTAGTGGGTGTACACATATTTCTCATAATCTAGCTCTACTGGAAAGGACATGCGCTAGCATAAAATGTCATTTAGACAAAAGTAAACATTCATTAGAGGTCGAGTAATACTCTTAATAGTGTGCCACTCATTTGAGGTTGGGTAGCACTCTTAATAAAGGAAAAATATAATTATATACGTAGTATAAAGGTGATAATGAACATTTTGTACACATGAGAGTAAACCATGAGTGCATGTTTGAATCTCAAAGGAACATCTAGCTTATGAAATTGAAGGAACAAGATACATACTTGTGTGGAGCGAGGGGAGTCCACATGAGATTCAACCTGATTGCCTCACCAAGCACAAAAAAACTGCCCTCTCCATCTTTTAGGCAGTGGGAGAATACTTTTGGGATGACACCTTCGGAGAAAAGCTGCGAGATAATGGAAGTTTTATTTCGATTAAACCCGAAGATCCCATCAAGTGCCAGGTTGCGTTGTGCGAAATATCCGAGCTGATAAGTACTACACTTGTGATATCACAACTTACGCCGTAAACAAAACACTACCAATTGAAAAGCTCGTAACATCCAAATATCGAAATTTATTGGTTAAACATAAAACAATAAAAGGCTCACCCGAATACAATGGGGATCACACTTGAAGCAGATTTATTACCATTAATCATATCCAAATGAATGTTGTCCGCAATGTAGTAACCTCCTGTCTCCCCACCATCTCCATATGTAATGTCGTATTTGCATAGATTATTACTGCTTGAACATTCAGGGTTGTGGGAAGCACATCGATGATCCGAGCATGGGATAAACGAAGATGTAGAGGAGCCTTGCGGGTTGAAGAATTGAAGGTGGAACTGCAAAAGAAATTTAGGTCAGTCAAATTTTAATTTAGTGTTAACAGCAAACTTAAATTCTGGGAAATTGAAAAGGGAAAAAAGACTGCAATTATACCAGAAATCCGCTAGATAGTGGACCGCCATTGCACGATGCACAACTGACCCATGAAATTTCACTGCGAGTGTCTATCTGGACGTGGAATTCCAATGGCGGTGAACCCAATAGAACTCGAGTGTAGTGAAGTCTGAAGCAAAATAACAAGATCGGTACAGTGAATTTGCTAAACTGAACGAAAATAAGATCAACAATAAAACAAGGGGATCATCTTAGAATCACGGATTAACGAAAATGGTAATTGTCGACTAAAATTAAACTTAATTCTCTAAATAGGACTACATGTTTTTAATTCCGCAAGACTCCGGATTATCATAATGCCGTTTTATATAATATTCCCTCCGTCTAAAAAAACATGGCCAAAGTTTAGACACATATTCCCTCCGTCTTACACGTAGATTAATAAAGTAAAAACTGTGTGGTTGAAATTTGTGCAGAGGAGAGAGAAATAACTTTAGACACATATTCCTTACTTTAAATGGAATTGACAAGCTTTTTTCGGGACGGCTAAAAAAGGAAATTGGGCTAACTTTTATGGGACGGAGGGAGTATCAAACCCTAGACAATGCTACTGTCAAGACATTGGTTCTCCATATCAAGACCCCCTTCTTTCACTCTCGCCGTCCTGCAATGCTACCATCACCACTTCCCTTCTTCTAGGTTTGCTTCTTCTTCTCTGTTCTTCTTCTTCTGTCTGTTTTTCATTTAAAAATCAAATTATCACTGATGTTATTGGTTTTGGTAGAACTTTTTTATTTCATTCAAGTTTTGAGTTTTGTCATCGATTTATCTCTTTTCTGGGCATTGATTTCGTAGTTATGATTTCCGATTTTAATAAATTTCCGATTTCTGTAAAAACTTTGGTTTTGCCGATTTTGGATATTGGGTTCTTGCTTTGCCAAATATTTGGCATTTTCATGTGAAATGTTTTGGCAGAAATTTTGTATTTTCACATCGATTTGAAAATAGTGTCAACTGTATGGCAGATTTGCATATGATATTATGGCAAAAAAATATTGTTTTGTTTGACAAACTGTCAAATTTAATTAAAGAAATTGCGAATATTATGTTCTTTTTTATAAAAAGATGGCAGAAAAATATTGTTTTCTTCGATAAATTGCTAAATTTAATTAAAGGAATTGCCAATATTATGTTCATTTTTAATAAAATGTCCCTTTTGTTGCAGCAACATGACATTTTTTTATCAAAATCGGCATCGGTGGTGCTCGAAGCGACGGGAGCGATGGGTCGGCATGGCTAAGCCGGAAGTGATGGTGGCGATGTTGCCCGGCGTAACATTCCCGGAAGTGGCAGCGACAGGATTGAAGTGGCGGCGGCGGAATTGAAGTGGGGATAATGACTCCTTGAATGCTCAATGCGGCTGTGGAAATTAGGGTTTTAGAAAGTTCTTCATTTCTTTTTAATTGTAAATAGATTTACAAATTCATTAAGGGTAATTTTGTAAAGTATGTTCATTTTTAGTCCTATAAAATATGGAGGTTCTATTTGTGCATTTTTTCACTGTTTTAGTCCTATTTGAGGAATGATGAATATCACCAAACTGTCCCTAGTGCATGTATATCGATAACACATGGAATTTCAAAGCTTTGAAAGACTAATTGGGACACATGAAAGGGATAAAATATTAGAGAAGAAACGTTGTTAACGAAAATTCAGTACACATAGCTTTGATAAATTACTTATCTCCCTCAATATTATGAAATCAGTAGGGAACATAACCACACTAGGAAGAATTCAATAGTTTATGAGGAATTGCACTAAATATGATTAAAAACTTTATAAGTTTCAAAATATAATTGGCATACTTTTATTCTCAAAGTAAAAGTAATTATTGCCACGATTTGGCAATATCAGACTTTAAACATGACATAGTTTTCCAAACTCAGCAATTTTGGAATTGCATATTACTGATTTCGTAATTTCATTCCTTACTGATTTAATTCCATTTCAGGGACTTTCCATTAATTTATTCTTTTGCCTCTAGTGATATAATGAAACATGTTATAGCAGGCACTCCCAAAGAGCTAAGTGGGGTTGGGAAGTCGAGAGTGTCTCTGTCTAGCCATTCACGGCCAGATTCTTCCCCACCCGTTCTTCTTCAGGTCGGCACCACCACTCACGGTGGCGGCCCCGCTAGGGCCCTCATAGCTCCGGCGGGTCTTTTAGGTGCTATGGTCATTTTTGGAAAACTCCTCCACCACTTCGGTGGTATTTGTGAGGCTGTTGGTTGAATTGTTATTGCCCTTTCTCTTGGGTAGTTTGATTCTCGTTACTGTAATTCATTCTTAGATCTAATGGAGCATGGTTTACTGGATGTTGTCCAATGGTTTATAAGATCTCGCCAGAAAGTGCTGAGTCACCGTCGCTGACAGTTAGTAACGCCAGATACTAGCTTGAGATGGGGGTGTGTAACGGAGGTGAATGGGTCTGGCATGGGGGTTTGGTGCGAAAAGGTGGGGTTTGAGACCTACGGATATGAACCAGATGTGATGTTCGTTAACATGGAGATGAATATTTGCGTACGTCCTAGGCCACCGGAAGGCAAAGCTCACCGGAAAAATACCTTCTCCGACTAAGAAAACAGTTAGTATCTGTGGCTTCATGACTTCATCTTTGATTTGGGGGGATGATATGATGGTGAACGGGTTGGACAAGCTTGGACTTGACTGTTTTGATAGTGGGTCTAGCCTTGAAGGTTTTGACCGCATGCAGGCAGTGTTACATACCAGGTCGGCCGCTTTACCTCGCCGAAATTTGCCTTATTTGGGAGTGACGGATGGTGGGATTAGGAGGCCGTTCGACTAGTTGGGAATGGTTAAGGGTCTTCTGACGACCAGAAGCCCTCTTGGGTTACTCTAGGTTCTTGTTGAAAGTCTTGTTTTCTCTGCTCACTTGCGCCGGAAAACAGAGTCCCCACCACTAACAACGGTAAGTAACTTTGGAAGCAGTTTTGTTGGTGGGCTGCTACTTGGTGAACGACTTGCTACCTGGAGGGGATAAAGATGGATGGTGGGTTTGATGTCGTCTGATTTGAGCTCAGGCAATTGGTGACATCTCCGGCTAGTTAGGTTACTCTGTTCCTCTCTTACCTGACCACCGGGATAAATACTTTATGAGTCACCTACACTTTAAAAGTGATGCATATAGTAAATGTGAAAATGTACTTTTAAAGTCGCCTCATTAAAATAAGCGAGGTGTAAAGTTAGTTATTGCATCACTTAAAGAGTGATGCAATAGACACGTTACTTTATGCATCAGTGGCTATTGCATCGCTTCTAAAGCGATGCGTAAAGGAAGTTTAGAATTGTGTTTTTTAACCCATATAGAAAGTGTTTTCTACACTAGTGTGTATAACTTTATATGCGACTCAAAAAGTATTTTTTGTAGTAGTGGGTGTACACATATTTCTCATAATCTAGCTCTACTGGAAAGGACATGCGCTAGCATAAAATGTCATTTAGACAAAAGTAAACATTCATTAGAGGTCGAGTAATACTCTTAATAGTGTGCCACTCATTTGAGGTTGGGTAGCACTCTTAATAAAGGAAAAATATAATTATATACGTAGTATAAAGGTGATAATGAACATTTTGTACACATGAGAGTAAACCACGAGTGCATGTTTGAATCTCAAAGGAACATCTAGCTTATGAAATTGAAGGAACAAGATACATACTTGGGTGGAGCGAGGGGAGTCCACATGAGATTCAACCCGACTGCCTCACCAAGCACAAAAAAAATTGCCCTCTCCACCTTTTAGGCAGTGGGAGAATACTTTTGGGACGACACCTTCGGAGGAGAGCTGCGAGATAATGGACATTTTATTTCGATTAAACCCGAAGATCCCATCAAGTGCCAGGTTGCTTTGTGTCAAATATCCGAGCTGATAAGTACTACACCTGTCATATCACAACTTACGCCGTAAACAAAATACTACCAATTGAAAAGCTTGTAACATCGGAATATCGAAATTTATTGGTTAAACATAAAACAATAAAAGGCTCACCCAAATACAATGGGAATCACACTTGAAGCAGATTTATTTCCATTAATCATATCCAAATGAATTTTGTCAGCAATGTGGTAACCTGCTGTCTCCCCACCATCACCATATGAAAAGTTGTATTTGCATATATTATTACTGCTTGAACATTCATGGTTGTGGGAAGCACACCGATGATCCGAGCATGGGATAAATGAAGATGTAGAGGAGCTTTGCGGGTTGAAGAATTGAAGGTGGAACTGCAAAAGAAATTTAGGTCAGTCAAATTTTAATTTAATGATAACAGCAAACTTAAATTCTGGGAAATTGAAAAGGGAAAAAATGACTGTAATCATACCGGAAATCCGCTAGATAGTGGGCAGCCATTGCACAATGCACAACTGACCCATGAAATTTCACTGTCGGTGTCTATCTGGACGTGGAATTCCAATGGCGGTGAACCCAATGGAACTCGAGTGCAGTGAAGTCTGAAGCAAAATAACAAGATGGGTACAGTGAATTTGCTAAGCTGAACGAAAATAAGATTGACAGTACAACTAGGATGTCAAAAAAACCGGACCCGCAATGGCCCGCCCTGGCCTGAGACATTTGGTCAGGTTCAGCCCGCCCCAACAGGTATGGGGCGGATCCACCCCGCTCTGCCTATACAATGGTGTGGGTGTGGGTATTAGTATTGACCCATGCCGCCCCGCCCTGACCTGACCTGCTCAATATATAAGTATATACATATTTTTTTTAAATTATACTACAAATATACTTCAACATATATATGTGTGTATACAATAAATCATAAATTCTTTGATCTTATAATATATCAATATATATATTAGATTGAGATGAACCCCGGATTATCAATGTCTTCTTTATATATAGCATTTTAATACATATATTCCAGTATTAATATAATTAAATATATTAACTATTCAAGTTTAAGTGATTTTTCTTTAACTTTTGAAATTTCTAGCGTATCGTGAATTTGATTTAATATATTAATTTTTAATTATTATTTAAAGATAAACTTTATGTAAAATCAATTGGTAAAAACTTCTCACAATTATAAAAATACATACTAGCTAAATAGGTTACGACGGGGCGAGGCGGGGTAGACCTGCCCCTCATGGGGCGGGGCATGGGTCAACAAGTTTGGACCCGTGCAGGTCACGGGGCGGGTCTGGGTCTTGCAGTACCCGCCCCGCCCTGACCTGACCCATTGCCATGCCTAAGTAAAACAAGGGGATCATCTTAGAATCACGGATTATCGAAAATAGTAATTGGTTTAATTCTCGATTACATGTTTTTAGTTCCCCAAATAGGACTCCGGATTATCACAATGCCCTCTTATATACGGAGTAATATCTAACCCTAGAACTAAATTTTCATTCGTGTTCTTCGACATTGGTTCTCCATATGAAGACCCCCTTCTTTCACTCTCGTCGTCCTGCAATGCTACTGTCACCACTCCCCTTCTTCTAGGTTTGCTTCTTCTTTGTTCTTCTTCTTCTTCTTCTTCTTCTTCTTCTTCTCTCCGTTTTTCATTTAAAAATCAAATTATTCACTGATTTTATTGGTTTTTGGTAGAACTTTTTTATTACATTCAAGTTTTAAGTTTCCATCATTTGCAATGGAGCCAAAGATTCATTATTTTTTGGCTTGAAATTATGATGGAATAAAGCAAAATGGCTCACTAAACTGTCTGCGCTTCTTTGTTATGGAGCAGCAGTCAGTCCATGCAATCTTGGACACGATTTTCACTATGGGTCATCCGGAAACAGTCTCTCTATGCTTTAGTACAGGGGTAAGACTGCGTACATCCGACCCCCCCTTACCCCACCGTAGGTGGGAGCCTTTGCGGCACTGGGGTAAATGAAAATGAAAAAAAAAAGTTTTAAGTTTTGGCATCCATTTATCTCATTTGTGGGCATTGATTTATTTCGTAGTTATGATTTTTTATTTTAAAAAATTTCAGATTTCTTTAAAAACCCCAAATTCTTTTGGGATTAAGGTTTGGTTGTTGTTTAAAAACTTTGGTTTTCCCGATTTTGGATATTGGTTCTTGCTTTGCCAAATATTTGGCATTTTCGTGTAAAATGTTCTGGCAAAAAAAATTGTATTTTCACATCGATTTGTAAACATTGCCAATTGTAGAGCAAATTTGCATATGTATGGTAGAAAAATATTGTTTTGGCTGACAAACTGTCCAATTTAATTAAAGGAATTGCCAATATTATGTTTATTTTTTAAGAAAAGATAGCAGAAAAATATTGTTTTCTTCAACAAACTGCCAAATTTAATTAAAGGAATTGCCAATATTATGTTCATTTTTTAATAAAATGTCCCTTTTTTGCAGCAACATGACATTTTTTATTATCAAAACCGGCATCAGTGGTGCTCGAAGCGACGACGGTGATCGTGTCGGCATGGCTACGCCGGAAGTGATGGTCGTGATAGTGCCTGGCGTGACAGTCCCGGAAGTGGCGGCGGCAGGATTGAAGTGGCAGCGACGGAATTAAAGTGGGGGCAACGACTCCTTGAATGCTTGATGCGGCTGTGGAAATTAGGGTTTTAGAAAGTTTTTCATTTTTTTTTATTTTTAATTGTAAATAGATTTACAAATTCATTAAGGGTGTGTTTGGGAGTTTGAGGGTGATGGAAGAGGAAGGCTTTAAAAGGGAGTAGAGAGAAGGGAAGGGGAGGGAGATGGGAAGGGATTTTTCTCCTCTCATTTGGGAGTTGCAAATTTCAAAAGAGGAGAGTTTGGGGACTTGAGGGGTTTCAGCTGCGGAAGAATGAAGCGAGTAGCAGCTCATAAAGATTTTATGCGGAAGCGGTTGTAGTTTCAGAGGATCAATCTCTCATTTGCGTTGCTAATAACTAGCTAAACCTTATAAAACCCTTAAATCGGGGGAATTAGAAAATCCAGTTTTTGGAGGGTTTAGAAAGATTTTATAACACCCCCAAAACTTTTCCCTCGTATTATTTAAACTCCGAAACACAAATACGAGGGTTTATTTCCCTCACATGTCTTTCCCTCCCCTCCCAAAACCAACTCTCAAAAACACCACAAGGGTAATTTTGTAAAGTATGTACATTTTTAGTCCTATAAAACATGGAGGTTCGATTTGTGCATTTTTTCACTGTTTTTGTCCTATTTAGGGAACGACGAACATCACCAAATTAAGTTATCCCACTGCATGTATATCGATAACACTGGGAATTTCAGAGTTTTGAAAGGCTAATTGGGACACAGAAAAGGGAAAAAAAATTCAGAGAAGAAGCGTTGTCAACGAACGTTCGATACATAGCTTTGATAAATTACTTATGTCCCTGAATATTATGGAATCAGGAAGGAACATAACCACACTTGGAAGAATTCAATAGTTTATGAGGAATTTCACTAAATATGATTAAAAACTTTTATAAGTTTCCAAATATAATTGTCATGCTTTTATTCTCGGTAAAAGTAATTATTGTCACAATTTGGCAATATTAGAATTTAAACATGACACAATTTTTGGGCAACATATATTCCTAATTAAGAAATAAAACAGGGCAGTCCTAGTTTGAAATTGCATATTACTGATTTGGCAATTTCATTACTTATTGATTTAATTCTATTTCGGGGATTTTCCTTTAATTTATTCTTTTGCCTCTAGTGTTGTAACGAAACATGCACTACAAAAAAAATTACGGGATTGACATAGAATTTGGCACGAACTTACTGATTTTTTGTGCCAAATAGCTCGTGCGAAAGTGTTTTTGGCACAGATTTGGCATTTCCCTGCCAAAATTCCTGTCAATCCCTTGGTTTTTGTGCAAGTGATGTTATAGCATATTACTACGTAGTATGTGCCCCATACGACTGTATAGAACCATAACGGGGCGGATTAGTATAGAATCATAACCGCACCATTATCCATTAAAAAAAATCAGGTATTCCCCGCCCCGTACCCGTTCCCCAAACAAACTGGTTTTCCCCATTTTGACCAAATCGGTTTGGTGCGTGTATCCAACAGGTTGGATGAAATTGCCATCTCTAGTATAGATACGAAAATATATCTTCTATCTTCATTTTTTGTACTTTCTCGATACTAAATTGAATTGTAATTTACGAATTTTAAGGTAGATTGACGATTAGTTCAAAAAAAGGTGGGTTGACAATAGAGTTAAATCACCTCTACGGACAATTAAATAAGTTTATTTATTTAAAATCTGTATTTCGGAAATTGCATTGAAAGTTTTATATACTCCCTCCGGTTCCAAAAGATCTTGACACTTTGACTTCACAATTTTAAGGAAATAAACACTGTTTGACACTGTTTCGCACTGTTTTGTGTAGATTTATTTGCCAAATAAGACAAATAAAGAAGTGTAAAGATCTTTCTGGTACTGCTAAAAATGGAAAGTGTAAAGATCTTTCAGAACTGGAGGGAGTATTAGATTATGTTACATTGATGCTGGACTTGCCTGATTATGCCAACACATGTGTGTTAGCAAGTTAAATCTAGGTGGCCAAAGGTAACGTAACGTGGTCATAGTATTTTAAATATATATATTTAAAAGAGAAAAATAATATAAATATTCCAAACGCTTAAGGGTGTGAGATAAATACTACAAATATACATATATAATATACATATCCCGAACTTTATATAAAAATTTATTTTAATTTTGCACAATGAAAGTTTATTCAAAAAAATATTCAACACGTAAAGTTCAATGGTATATTTGAATATTTTTAAACATATAAATGCCTCAAAAATCTAGTAATTTACATAGTATTAGTCTTTTAAGTCTTAGATATGAATAATACGGAGTAAAATATTAACAATAAAACTAATCATAAAGTAGCCAAAATCATAAAACATTCTAAATTTCCATATAAATTATTACAGCTTTAAGATTTCACCCAAAAAAAATCATCAGTGTTTGTTGAGTAGCTCAGTAAATCCAACATGTCAATTATTGTCAACGAGTTAAGAAAATTGCCTGTCTAGGCTGGTAACCAGAAAATTAAACGTATTATTTATATAGTTAAATAATGGGCCGGGCACATGCCATCAATAATTTTTTTGGAATAGGACAAACCGACAAAGGTATAGGAAAAAATTGTACGTATTACTTATATACTTAAAGTACTTACACCCTATGAATTGTTTCTTTTGCCCCCAATTTTTTTTTCAATTACAAAATGGAGCATAAAAATAGTATGCTATGTAGGATCATTTAAGCTCACTTGAAATGGATTAAAGCTAAGTGTTAATGCAACCACAATAATCTTAATTAACTATAAATTTAGCAACAAGTATGTACATTAATTGCATCTCTATTACTTGCTTGCTTCATCGAACTTTTAGTGATGATTAAGATTATAAGATTTATAACTACGTTTCAAGTAGACATGTACAAAAATGGGTTCGGGCCGGGCTCGGGCCGAGCTTTTTATAAAATTTCTTACCATCATGTGTGGGCGGGTCCGGCCCGGCCCGCAAAAACGGGCCTAACCACATGTCCATATCTGCCCGTAAGAGAGGGCTGGGTAGTCCACCGGGCCGCCCGGCCCGGGAAAACTTTATTTTTTTCAAAATTATACGAAGTATGATTTTTTTAATGCTTTAAAAATAATATTACAACATTTAAAAAATTGTTAATATACTTATAATGTTTATAGGTCTTTCACCACATACAAAAAAAATACTTACACAAACATAATAATGAGAAATTATATCTAAATTTTAAAATTTAAGCACAAAGTGTTATCTTTAAGTACAAAAATAGATATTATATTGGTTGGGCTACTTGTTCAAAACTAAAAATTTAAATTTAAACACAATAAACTTTAAATATGTATAAAGAAAATTAGTAAATAAAATATACATGTGTATATGTAATAAATAAATAAATAAATTAGTATATATATAAATATATATATATATATATATATATATATATATATATATATATATATATACTAAATGTAGCGGGTCGGAATTATTGGCCCGAACGAGCCTACCCCACAACCCAAGCCCGCTCATATCTTACTACGTATATTCTGGTAGCTAGCTTGCACAATAAAATGAAGGTTCGTATTTTCTGTACTAATTTTCTCAGGGTTGAATATATGTGCGTCAAATTTGAGATGAATAATGTAAAACACAGTGTTTCATAAATTACCCAGCAAGGAAGGGGGCATATGTTCCTTGTACAGTGAACTGAACAACTCCCGCTGGCATTTTTCTTGCACGCCTCGCTATGTCCGGTATTTGGAGTTCCGATGCACTGACATTGGAGAATGCTCTGTTTAGGGGGGAACTTATCCCCTTAACATGAGCTACGCCAAGAAAAAGAACCATAATCAAGGGAAAATTAGATGAAAGTGCCCTTCTGATTTTTGTGAAAGGAGGATAGTCTGTTTTGTTTCTTGAAAGAGAGAGAAGCAGAGCTCACCATAACACTTGCGAATGTGATCTCTGTCGGTAGCAAATGTCCCCATACAGATGCAGGTGGAGAATCACATCTTATAACAAGCCAGAAGCCTCTGAGAGAGGAAATTACCAAAATACGGAAGTTTGGCGTCTGACAAGCCAAATAGCGGGAGTTCCAATTAGCTTACCAAAATACCGGAGTCGGATTCCCGAATTGCGACTGGAGGAAAGCTAGGAAATTAAACCAACACAAACTCTCCTCTCGGAATTCCCTAATCCGACTAGGAGTAAAATGGTCTGGTTTTATAAATTACGAATTGTGTAGAAATCTTATTGTTCAATCATTACTCAATCAACTCAAAGTTTATCACTTGTGTCGAATCTTGATTTTAGATTTTAATTATTTTAGTAACCTTTAAATTACTAAAATTTTAAAATGGGTTTTATAAATTACGGATTCTGTATAATTATTAATTACTTATTTTAGTAACTTTTAAAATTTGAATTTTAGATTGTGAAATTGGAATTTTAGAGTTACACTTAGCTATGAAATTCTAGAAATTTAGAAATTGAGTTAAATTTAAAATTTTAGTTAAATTTCGAATTTAGGAATTCAGAAGTAGTTAATTAATTTAGTAATATGGGAATTTTTAGTTAACTTTCGAATTTTAGCTATTGGTGATTTTTTAGAATTTTATACTAGTATTAGATTGTAATTTTAGAGTTAAATTTAGCTATAAAATTCTGTAAAGTTAGAAAGTGTGTTAAATTTAAAATTTGACTTAAATTTTGGTTTTAGGACTTTAGAAGTACGTATTTTAGTAATTTGTAAATTTTTAATTTGGATTGTGAAATTGGAATTTTAGAGTTAAATTTAGCTATCAAATTCTAGACTACTGATATTAATTATTTTGTCTTCATTTTGCTCAAGAATATTTGAGTATTGTTGTAATTTGTTTAGCCTTCTTACGATGCAATGCTCTCTACTATATATGCTGCACATCAGAAAAGTTTTAACGCTGTTGTCAGGAAATTAGCTAATTGTTGATGATTTAATGGCAAAACGGTAACTTTAGTGTGAAACCTTAATGCCTTGATATTTTTTTTAATGCCTTGATATTTTATTCATATTCCTACATAATTATGATTGGTCTTTTTTATAGATATTACTAAAATAATCATATTTTTCTCCATAATAACTCTGGGAGTAATATGTATGCCATTATTTCATATTGACTTAATATGAATATTGATATTACAAAAAAAAAAACATTTCATATTTCTGGGTGTTGGATTATTTAATCCTAATTCTCTCACATGTTATTTTGTTATAATTAAGATAGGATGGCAAAGTAATTAGGCCTGTTTTATTTCTTTTCTTTATCTTTGGGTTATCTCTTTAGTGGGTTGGTTGGTTGGTTGGTGCATTGGGCTTGATCTGCTAACTGATTGCTGTTGGGCCTATTTTGGGTCCGGCCTCTTGGTTATATTTTCTGCCCGGATGAAAGGTTATTTATATAACCTTCGTCTTCTGCATCTGCACTGTTCCGCTGCATAAACTCAAACCCTAGTGAGAGAATCCAGAGAGAGAGAGAGTCTGATCCTTGGATCTGTTATCCCATGCGATAGAACTCCATCAACTCATGTCGATTGTGAGGAAGGAGGAAACCTGTTCAACGAAGTAGCCTGCTGGTTCTACCAGACTGGAATCGTTTTTGGTTAACTCTGAACTTTCTTTAGTAGTTTATCGTTATGAGCTGTATGTTTGTATATTGCATGTTGATTCTGGTCTGTGTCTAATTACTTTGCAACCATCTTGATTGTAAACCTTATTCTGAGCTAGTGGATCTGCCTGGGACCGGGTTTCCCCTCTTGAAACCCCGTAGATTAGGAAGTTCTTTTCCGAACTGCGTCATCATATCGCGTGTCTTTACTTTTCTGTTCTTGCTTTGTTTGATTGTTTGAAACGTTGAGATCCGATTTGCATGACTGTGACTTGGTTAAGTCTGTGAACAAATTTGATATCAGAGCCTTGTGTGATTTCTTGAAATCTGAAATTGAACCTCTGGTTTTAATTCTTGATTTCTTGAAACCCTAGTTCTTGATCATTCCTTTGTTGTTCGTTTTTCTGGGAACCCTAGCTCAGAATATTCTGTCTTGTGATTGCTGCTGTGTGTGTTGACTCTATCTATTTTCTGCTCTTGATTTATATTTTTTTTTTGAGACCACATTGGGAAAAAATGTCTGACTCTAGTACCAAGATTCGCATCTTTGATGGTACTAGTGATTTCCCTATGTGGCAGCTTAAGATGAAGGCTTTGTTAATGAAACAAAAATGCTTTAAAGTTGTTTCTGATGTTGAAATAACTGGAATATCTGAGTCTGACCTTGTTGAATTGAAAAATGCTGCCTACTCTGAATTGATAATTCACTTATCTGATAATGTTGCAAGAAAATTCTCAACTATAACTGATCCTAAAGTTCTTTGGAATACTCTGGAATCAACCTACATGAAAAAATCTATGTCTAGAAAAATCTCTCTGTTATGTAGGTTGTTCACTTTTAAGATGAATGTTTCTGTGTCTCTTTCTGATAATTTGGATAATTTTCTGAAATTAACACAAGAAATTGAGAAAGTGGATGAAAAGATAAAAGATACTCATCAAGCTGTCATTCTTCTTAACTCTTTGCCTTCTCAATTTGATAACTTCAAGGATGTCATTCAATATTCTAATGAAGATCTTACCCCTGGTAAGATCATTGATACTGTTTTAGAAAAGAATGAAACCCTAAAAGTTTTCAAGTCTAAGAATGATCCCTTGAATAATGAAAAGGCTGAAATCAAATCTGAAGCCTTAGTTGTTAAGGGTAAATCAAAGGGTAAGAAAAATGGCTCTAAAAAGAAGAAACAAAATGATAAGGAAAATTCTGAAAAGAAAGGTTTTAAGTGTCACTACTGTGGGATTGAGGGACACTTTGCTAGAGACTGTAGGAAAAAGAAAAGAGATAAACAGGGTGATTCAAAAACCACTGTTAATCCCAATTCTAATACTGAGTCTGCCAACATAATACAACATGAATTGCTTATCTGTTCTGATTCTTCTTTGAAAAATGAGTGGATCCTTGATTCTGGTTGTACCTTGCATGCCACCCCCAACAAAGCTATCTTTTCCTCATTACACTTGTACAATGGGGGAAAGGTGATGTTGGGGGACAATACTGCTTTGGATATTATGGGCATAGGTAATGTGCCTTTAAGGATGTTTGATGGAGTTGTTAGGGTCATTCAAAATGTGAGATGGGTCCCTTATTTGAGAAGAAACTTGCTGTCTGAATCTATATTTGATGAGTTAGGTTGTAGCATTGTTACTCAGGTTGGCATTATGATGGTTTCCAGAAATGGAAATCATCTTATCAAAGCACCTGCCAACTATTTATAAGAGGATTTGTTGTGTGTTAAATGTAGTGTTAATGGACCTGAATATTGGACATGAATGACCAGTCCGTTGGGCATTGAATCGTCCATAAACTATCCATTTAACGCAGCATTAAAAGACAAGAACGTTGGGCATTAACTTTCGTAACGGCTTAGGTATTCTGTTCCGGAAGCCAACAGAAGAGCCCTGAGGTCTTCTGTTAAGGAACGTTACAGGAAGAAACAAAAGTTAAATCGTATTTTTGAATGATAGATTTTCCGGACGGCATTCGTGTCTGCAGATCGCCCGCGCACACGAGTCGCGGTTTTTCTTCTCCATTTCGGGATTTGATCGGCACCCCCCTGCGCGTAAGAGAGAGCCTTTACCTTTAGGAATCTTAACTCCTTAAACGAGGCTTCCCTTTATAAGGGGGTGAAAATCCTTTGAGTTTTCCGGTGTCGTATAAAACACACTATAAACCCATCATTTTCCCAGTTTTTCAATTTTAACGAGTGAACTTCGAGAATCAATTTCTCATTCACCCGTTATCCGTTTTGAGCGTACCATATATCGAATTGTAGCCTTTAACAAGGACAATCCGAAACCACTTTGACCCGACCCAAATCGGAAGTGGACCCCACTCAAATAATTGCCCCAAATGACATTTAATGCAATTTTTAACACATATTTTTCCAACATCAACAAAATTATAGGAAAAGAAATTAAAGCAGGATAAAGCTACTACCAATACTGGTCCACCAAGTACTCAGCACTACAAAAGTTCCAAAGAATAAAACCAAACATTAAAAGTAAAACTCCGATAAAGCTACAGGACCACCGGTCCACCACGGCACAACCAAGTACTCAGCACTACAAAACTTCAAAAGAATAAAACTAAACATTAAAAGTAAAACTCCGATAAAAAGCGTCACGCAAATACGAAAGTACTTGGTCCAAAAGGGAGTGTTTGCAATTGGTCTATTTTAAAAAAAAATGAATTTTTAAGTGATTTTGGAGAAAGCATTTAATACTACTTTTCTCTCTTAAAAACTTTCTCACTTCTACTTTTAATCAATTTTTTGTGTTTTCTGTTAGTTCTCTCTCTTTTGCATAAACCTTAATCATGCACACAGTTTCTACTTTATTATTTTCCGTGTCGGTCAAACTTGACAAAGTTTTAGGGAACGAAAGTAGTAGTAAAAATTAGTAGTGTTTGAAAAAGTAAAAGTTAATAGTGTTTAGTAAAATAAGTGCTTATTTAGTACGGAGTAATAGAAAAAGTAAAAAGCAGTTTAAAACACCCTTCCACTTCTTTCGAACTTTTAACTTTTAAGTGTTTAATTTAAGCAAACGGTGTCATTTGAAACATTCTTTTCAGCTTTTTTAAAAATACCCTATATAAAATCTTTTTCTTTTTTGATTTATAAGATATAAAAAAGACAAATTATAAGATATAAAAAAGACAAATTAATGCAAATTGCAAATAGAATTAAAAATTTAAATTTACTCCTAAATAATAACACGTTGTTCCAAATATATTTAACGAAATGATTTTTTGTTGCAAGGGACAAAATGAATTTTTGAAAGGACTAAAAGTTAAGTCATCAACCAATTTAAAATATATAGAACGGCACATGGTCATTAGTTAGTATGAAAAGAAAACGGTAAAAAAGGTATATTTGTGTTACTGAAGTTACATTTAAGTAATCAGGTGGTGCGCAAAGTAACTCACTTCTACAATTAAACTTGTTACTATATAAGTGTCTTTCTGCTGCCATAAGAACCACTATGGCCGGAGTATCGTTTTCTTTAATATTAGTAGTGCTTACCTATTAAGTAATACTCCGCACTATTACTTACATTTTACATAGTCACATTGTGTGAAATAAGATGGAGAAAATTGTCCAACGTAGGATCAAAACTCAAACTTTTCTCCAAAATAGTATCACATTATGTTTTTTCCTAAATAGGACCAACGAAACTTTACCTTTTTCATCCCTAATTCTATATAATTAATTAAT